TATGGAGGATATGTGGCAGTATATTTATTTAGTTTTTATAACTTGTGACATTGTGAAATTGACTTAAGGTATATATGCATGTATGTTAAACTCTTGCATTCATAAATGAGAAGCTATGGAATGCCATGTTTTTTTGTTTCTGATAGTATTAATTATTGTGAATCTTTGCATTATATCACTCATAACGCTGAGCCTAATGGTGTTTTGCTTAATATTGCAAGAGGTACTTGATGTCTGGCAGAATGCGGATGCTGTATGCTTTGATGTAGATAGCACAGTTTGTGTAGATGAGGGCATAGATGAACTTGCTGAGTTCTGTGGAGCTGGGAAGGCTGTGGCAGAATGGACTGCAAGGTAAATGTTTGTTTTTTGTATGATAAATGTGTGTTGGTGTATTAATGCTTAAATTCCCATTGGGCTTTTTGGCATTGCTAGGGCAATGAGTGGCTCCGTTCCCTTTGAGGAAGCTTTGGCTGCCAGGCTATCTCTTTTCAATCCTTCATTGTCTCAAGTTGAGAGTTTCTTAGAGAAGAAACCTCCAAGGTACCTGACAGTAAGAATAATTGAGTATATACATATGCAGTGGCATCTATTGTGTTGCCTTTTGTTTTTTCAAGATGACATTTTTTATAAATAAACTTTTTAAGGAATTCAGTTGAGGGGAAAACTTGTTTTGTAGGCATACCTTTGGGGACCTACACCAGTCATCATTAGTAAAAAATGGGCCTGTAAAACCGTTCCGGATATAATCTGGAGAAAAGAGAAATATGATATGATACATGATCAAACACAAAAGAGTTGACTCAATGACTCATGAACATAGCTGAATGTCTGTGATGTCTGTAAAAAGGATGATGTCAAAAATGGTGTACAAATAGCTTTTTTCATCTATTAGGGAAATTTCCAAGGTGCCCATGTGGGTACATCAAGGTGTGCCTGGCTGCTTGCATGGGCTTGTTAGAAGAACTCATTTCAGTGCAATTTTTAAAATATTAACTTTTAATTGCCATTTTCTGTCAAGTCAACAATTAAGAAAGAAAAACCTATAAAACAATTAAGAAGGAAAAACCTAAAGCTTTTTTTTAAAAGAGAAACCCTGAAATCCCTCAATGACATTATGAAAGGGCAGAGAAAGTGAGAAACTCGTTTTAAGTATTCTCAAACATACTAAAGGTGATCAAAGTGCAATTTGAAATATTAGAATAGACATCTTTTTGAAATGGTAACCAATAATTAGGTGTCTCAAATAAATAAGGGGCAAACCAGTCTATATAGCTCCCACATGTTCAGGGTTCAGATAAGGGCCGGTTTAGTAAGGACCACTGTAAGAAACCACACCTAATATTTACAAGAGGATGCTTCCACGGCATGAACCTGACACTTCAGGTCTCATGACTGAAGATTCTACCACTGTGCCTATGCTCCCCTTCTTTAAACAAGTACTCTATTTCCTAAAAAACGAAGTACACTATTTCATTTCCAGCTTGCTGGTTGCTTGTATGCCAGAATTATTACAAGTTGTGCCTAAAATAAAATTTATACTATTACTTTGCATGGTATCTTCTTGTGTTGGGAAATTTTCCATCTAGGTCATCGCTTTCGATTTTGTAGCATAATGATCTAAGTCATCACCAGTATAAAATCTTCCATCTAGGTCATGAATAGTCCCCGGCATATAAAATTTATACTAGTACTTTGCATTGTATCTTGTTGTGTTTGGACTTGGGAGATTGTTGTTATTTCCTCGTGTTAACTCTCTTGTAATGGTACCCCAGATGGCTTTATTATGGTACGGGAAAAGAGTCAAAAGACAGAAATATGATTATCTAAACATGCCCAAGTTTTATGAGACCAAAATTTTCCCCCTCAGTGAATGACACACAACGTTTAAAAGTTTCATCGTAAACATGGTTTTGCATAGAGTCCAAGTTATTGATTGTGTTTGTAAATAGGAAGCACGGTAATAACATCATATACTATAATTCCTGTTATGGACTTATGAAACGATTGTGACAGCATTCACATGTAGATATACTTGACTTTCTAAGAAGCTTGTTTTCTTTTATCATCGTGGTCAATATGTACTTTAATGTGATAAAGTTTCCCATTTTCCTTCATGTAGACTATCTCCTGGGATTGATGAATTGGTCAACCTGCTGAAGAATAGAAAAAGAGATATTTATCTGATCTCCGGAGGGTTTCGTCAAATGATCAATGTATGTCAGTCTAACTTGGGTGCGACATGTTTCAATTTCTAGTTGATGTCATCCATTTAAACCATCAATGTTTGCATAATGGTGACCTTTTTCAATAGTATGTATGTATGAGTTCAAGAATATAATAATAGCAACCTCTATCATACTACGTATTTGCAACGGAGTTGCTGAAGTTCAGTGTTAGACATTAAATGTGCAATTCAAGTTAAGAAATCTTTAAGGGTGTCACACAAGAAAAGCGTCAATAACCACAACAACATTATCCCACTGCTTCAAAGGCCACTGTTCATTGCAGGGTGGGGTGTTGTGGGGGGGGGGGGGGGGGT